TTTTTCAGGAAACCCACTCAATCAATGGATACTTTACAATTCAAGTTTGTTTGGCGCCAGTTTTGTTTGGTGAACCTCAAAGAATGTTAGTTGCCCTGCTTTTGTATATAAACTAAATTCATATCATGGACCCTTTTCACCACCAGAGAGGGGTGTCCAGCTCATTCAGTTCAGGTTTGCCGGTTCTCCAGTAACCACCAGTTGCTTGTGTCCTCTTTTGGCTTCCTGGCAGGAAGTTTGCCCAAGCAAACCCTTACATGATCGACGCTCCAAAGGTCTATTGGGTTTCATTAGCAGAGGCTGATGAGCCTCACACAGCTCGCTTGGGGGCATATCTTTGGGCATTACTGAAAGCAGGTGACCATCAGTCTTCTGTTCCACATTTTGCTGATCTTCAAGTATATTTGCGAATCCTCGGGGATGAAGCTGCCTTGCGGAAGTTGGAGGACCAACAAAAGAAAAGGCAAACAAAACGCCAGAAACATGTTGTTGCACTTGCAGACATGGATGACTGGGAGGTTCCTGTTCCTGAAAGGAAAAAGAGGAAAACGCAACCCAAGAGGAGAGTGAAACCAGCTTCTGAGCCGATTTGTGACAAACCTTCTTTTGCAGAAACAGCAGGCGCAGAACCATTGGCCGATGCTGCCAGCCACCAAGTAGAAACAGAAGCAGTGGACGCGCCTGAACCCCATCACTTTGATGCAGAGTCAGAGGAGTCATGTGGTAGCTCCGAGTCTGAAGATTTACTCAACCTTCTTGAGTGGGCAAATAGACTTGAAGCCAACACAAGCGAAGCGCAACAAGAAACTGACACCAAACAAAGCTCTGCGAAAAGCAACAGCGAAAGCTCGAGCAGTTCAAACAGCAGCAGCAGCAGCAGTGGCAGCGACCAAGAAAACCAAATCAAAGCAATGGAGGCGCCAGAGTCTACTGGCGCAGCCAAAGCAAAACCAAAATCCAAAGCGAAAGCAAAAGTGAAGCAACGCCAATCAGCGCAAACTAAGCCAGCGCCCAGCCCTGTTGCTATCACGCGCGACTTCACCAACCGCATCGAGTATGGCATGCACCATTTGACACCCCGTTTCAAACGCGACAGAACCATTCAGTCCTATCAAATGAGCTGCCACCTGCCTCAGCACAATGTCGGTGACCAGAGGTGCTCTAGAGAGCTTACTGTGACTGTCACGGGATCAGAAGAGAGCACCAGACGCATTCTTAAAGCTTGGGTGTTGCTTGGGCATGGCTTGCCAACGCGGGAGCAACACATGGATGCTGGAAGCCGCCAACAACTTCTCACTTCTTTGAAAGATGGGACTTTGCTGTCAGAGAGTGAGTTAGACAAGATCTCAGCTGCTTCAGAGAAGTCTGCCGTGGTTGCCCCACTGCAGCCCAAACCTTCTGGAGACAGTCCTCCGCCAACCAATGCCAAAACTTTACTCGGAAAGCGTGATGGGTGTGTTCCAGAGGACGCCCATAACCGCATGTTGGATTTGGCAGCTCGCGGTGCAATTCCGATTACAACATTGAGCCAGCGCCAACGAAACCGTTTGACAAGTGGCACAGAATATGGTGTCCCACCAGAGCTCAAAGAAGCTTTGACTTACGGTTACCTGCACCCAAACCTTGCACCACCTCAAGGGTTCCGGTGGGGGTACCAGGGTGGAAAGTGGATGCTGCGAATCCATGGTGGCTAAACGTGCTTGAGTAACTGGGGAAACCCCATTGCACCTTCCCAACGGCGTACTCACTTTAATCCTTCTATCCTTCAAATTTCGGTTGTATGTTATGTAAATGTAAACCTTGAAGAGCTTACTCAAGCATAGGAGCTGTCAACATGCCGCCTGTGTGGTCCAACGGTCCAACTACAAGCAAAACTGCTCTCGGAAAACAAAGGCTGTGCTCATGGAGCTTTGCAATGTCGCCAATTCACCCTTTCAGTTTCAATTTTCTAAGCCGAGCAAACGCAAGACTGAAACGTGTTCATTTGCAGTTAACATGTTTGTAGGCGCAGCGCGAACACCGTTTTATTCCAGAGATTTTTGCGCAGCCTGTCGCCTGTCCAGCTGCTATTGACCTAAACATGGTTCTAATCCCACTTCAACAAAGACTGTTTCTGCATGTTTGCTCCAAACTTTCCAACGATCCTTGAATAAAGAGGCAGCGACATATGTCACGCTTGTTTCTGTGCCGTGCGGCTTGAAGTTGATGATTTCGGTGTATTGTTGCAGGGCCCTTGTGCTGTGGCTGTGTCTGCTTTGGCGTTCACTGCGATTTCGGAACGCATAACAACGCTTTCCCTCCGTCGCGCTGTGGTTTGTTTCATGAGTGCTTTGGGAGTTGGAAAGAATAGCGTCTTTACGCGTGTAAGATGTGTTGAGTGTGCTTGATGTGCTGAATGCTGTTTTGAGCTGCTCTGTTTGATGATGAAGACTTCTGGTTGGTGTGATGACAAATGACATGTTTCCAGTAAGTTCACGCTCTTTGAATGTAACTTTTGCGCCAGCTCCTGATTCTTCCGACATTGCTGTGTGAAGGGTGATGCGATGACGAGTTTGACGATTGCCCCCCGTCGAGGCCATCAAGTTGGGTTCTATTGCTGCCCCGAGTTGGGCGGTGTGCAAGAAGTCTGTGTGTTTTGCTTGTGAGCTCAGGGCTCTTGCTGTGGCTTTGCTGCGCTCTGGGTTCTCTGCGTTCTCCTCCTGCGGTTCTCCCCCTTACAGCCTTTTGCAGTCACACTGCGGTCCAGAAAGGTGAGGATCACAAAGTGCATGGACTTTAGCTCATTTTGTTGATTTTCAATGATTTTTGTGTTTTTTGTTGTTTTTTGTTGAATTTTGGCGGAAACCTTATGAGAAATAGCTAGAAATCATTTTGTCCATTCTTCTCATTTCTTTTCATCACTTTTGATCTGAAACCAGCCAAGACACAGCCAGGCTGCCTCATTTGCAAAGTTGTGTTTTGGCAATTCCCATCGCTTGAAATCTTGGGTTACAGATTTTTCTCGCCCAAGATGACGTTTGTTTGATGGGGGTGAGCAAAACTGAGCAGTTCAGGCCACGGGCCTGTGCTACGAAGACCTGTTTGCAGGTTTGTTCCTGGCTTCAGCACTCATATTTTGATGTAACTGCTCTACGGGAGAGCTTCCCAGGTATTGTGTTCAATGTTTTTAATTGATATTTCTCCTTGTATCATTTCAAGCGTTTTCCTTTTCGGGGAGAGGTTGCACGGAGTTGCACGGAGTTGCACGGAATTGCACAAAACCTTTTCGGGGACTTGCCCCCTGTGTCAGCCAATACTTCTAGTTCCCTTTGTATCTGTTCATATTGGTGCTGAAACATGCAAAAACGGAGCGATACGCTTGAAAATGTAAGAAAACTGACTTTTCTTCAATGTTTTGCAGCAAAATCAAGCAAACCAATTGATTTCCGCGCACTTTGTGATCCGCACAGTTTGGGGACTTGAAACCTTTAAAGATGACAGTGTTTCCTGCGGGTCCGGTGGGCCCTCCTTGAAACACTCCCGGGATGGCCGCCAATACTTTCCCAGCTCATTCCCCTCAACCCCTTCAGGGTCGGCCCTTCCCCCAGTGCCAAATGTACTAGACAAAGGCCAGGCCCAGGCAAAGGTGAAGGTTTCACAGGAAGCAACCTGATAATGGTAACTTGTTAGATATAGCTAGCAGGCTAGCAGGTGAAGACAAAGGAGCCAAGCTCTTGCTGAATCATGTAGCTGTGCCAGTCCTTGTGCGTGTGGAGAGTTTGGGGCATATTGTGATGTCCGTGAGGGTAGCAATAAATTCTTTTTGGTTCCGATCCGACGGATGCTGAGATTCCAGTTGCTTTGTCTCTGTAGTCTGGTGCTCCTGCTTCCTATGGCGGCAGGTCAAAGCTAGGTAGTCACAGCTTGTGAAGCGTGTGCGCTAATGTAGGCAATGTAGAAAGCGCGCCTCTGTAGACCAGCGCTGTTACTGCAGACACCGTTGCTGGCGCGCATGCTGTGTGTTAGACTTCGACCGCCTGTGATTTAGCCTTTACCAGTGCGTGCGTGATGTTGTTTCTTTCTGTTGCTTTTTCCGGATGTTCAAATGAACAGTGCGCCCACTGTTTTTTCCTTCAGCTGTCTCCCACTGAAGAAGCTTTGACTCCTCCTACTCCTACACAAGAAGGCTCTGTAAACCAGCGTATTTCAACCACAGTTTGGAGGCTTGTGCCTAGATACGTTGCAGGCCGCACAGTATAGCATCTTAGGGCGGAAACACATGTAGAAGTGTGTGCTGTGTGCTGTGTCTTTTTCATCCTTTGGAATTCAGAACCAGGCTCTAATTTGACAAGGTAGGTGGGACTAGTAGACTGCGGACTGGTTCTGCTGCAGCGCACCATGGAGGGAACTGATCCTCTACAAAGGACACCTGCTCAACGGAAACGGAAATTGACAGCTAGATTGACCGACGCTACTGAGCGAGAAGAGTTGGAGGTTGCAAATAGCGGCAAGCCTGTTGCCTTCACCTCCACCAGCGAATTGCGAGAGTGGCCTCTTAAAGTTGTTCAGTCCCTCTGTGGGCAGGACACGCCCGGAGATCAGGAGTTAAGCCTGCGCCTGAAACAGCATTTTCTTCGTGGCATTGTCCTCAACACCGACTACAGTGGCATTGATTGCCCGAGAGAGGCTTTAGAGTTGGCTGAGAGGTCTCTCTACACCTTGCATGGTGTTCAGTGTGTCGATGCCAAGTCAGCTGTGTCTGTGGGAAGGACTTGTGACAAGGGAACCCTTCAGAAGAAGGTTCAAGTTGCTTTGTCCCACACGTTTGAGGAGAGCCGGCGGTGCCATTTTGAAGATTTGCTAGACCGCTTGCCCGAAACAGGGCGAGAGTGGATCCGAGCTGCAACTCCAGAGAAGACAGCTTCCAAGGCGGTTCGAGCCGCAACCTTTTCCAACATCTCCAAGTGGGTTATGGAGAATCGGTCCTGGTTGTTCAGCATGGAAGCAGTTAGCTGGTGCGCTGTCCACCAAAGGACCGGAGTTTTGTTTTCAATGTTCAGTTAATAAGCCCTGGTCCCAAATCATTTGGTCCCTGTTCCTTAGCAGCCTTAGCAGCAGGCCTCCTTTAATGCACCAGTTTGTAGTGAACACCAGGTGTCCAAAGGGCAGTATCGATTATCATAGAGGTGTTGTTTCGGAGAGCTGGTTGTTTTTGGCGGGGGGTTCTTTTTTTCTGTTTGCATTTGCAGGAATTGCAAGGTGCATCAATCTTTGCTCTCTTCAAAGCCAGACTCGGAGTCAGACACGGAGAGCCGCACGCGAATCAACACAGCAGGGGTGACTTGCCACGCATGGAGCTCTGAAGGAAAAGGGGAGGGAGCTGCCCATGAGTCTGAAATCCCGTTGGCAGTTTGGCTGGGCGAAACCATGTACCTTTTTGAGCAGGGAGCTCAAGATGTTGTCTTCCTGGAATGCACCCCTAGGTTTCCTGCCCAGGATCGTTTGGAGAGCATCTTTTCCAAAATTGCCCATGTATTCTCTTGGCATGATGGGCCAGAGCTTCATGGATGGCCCCATCGAAGACTCAGAGTCTTGGCTGCTTTGATTTCGAAGGAGACAATGGAATGGCTCGGCTCTCCTTCTTTGACTGACTTGCAAGCGGATTACAAAGAGAGATTCCACCGCCAAATGGGTGCAGATGGATCCATCCTACTGCAGGCCTCTTTCGAAGACCGAGTTCAAGAGATGCACGCTTTAGCGCAACTTCGCAAGAACAACGTTTCTCTTGAAGAGATGGGAAATGTCATGGCAGACCCCGATCGTGGCAAGGAGGTGGCACGCTTGACCTTGCCTCCAGGTGGCATCGACCGGTTGGCTCAGTGGGAGCAGGAGTTCAAAGACAGGAGGGCTTCCGACCAGAGCTTGTCTGCTTTTCTCTGCGATGTTGATCATTCTGTGAATACCAAAGGCCGGTTGCGGGGCAAACCGTTGCGGAAGTCTTTTTTCCATGGCTAATTGAATCAATGTTTAACGCATTCCAATGGTTTCCCAATGGTTTCCTCCTCTAAGAGCTGGACACATGGCATCTGGCGTGTTGGGGAGGTTGGTGTTCTTTTTCCAGGGCCCCGTTCAACTGTTCAACCGGAATGTTGACAAATGTTCCTTTGCCGCAGGGCCAGCTGGGAGCCGGCTGTGGCCGACACAGCTGACACATGGGACTGTCATTGCTTTCAAGACCAATGAAGATGGAGAGGTGTCTTGGCGGATGGCCACTGCTATGGAGCATCTGGCGGCGCTTGGATGGAATGTTTTTGCGCCCTCTGATGCCTTCCCACTGTGCAACCTGAAGTTCGCGATTGAACACCTCCGATTGACTCCAGGGCAAGTGAAGACCTTGACAGGAAACTCCATGCACTTGCTCACACAAATGTCCTTCATGCTCTACATTCTTGCCCAGTGCGGAAGAAAGGTGGCCCATCATTCCAACCCACCTGCTCGAGTGAGCTCGTGGGACGAGTTCAGTTCGTTGTTAGCTGTTAGACTTTCTCTTGGCTTTCACTCCTCATGCCAGTGCCGGCATTGGAATGGGGCATGGCCACTATGACAAAATTGCAAGCCTAGCGCCTAGCACTAGCGAGGTAATTTGAACTTAGAACAGAAGGTGCGAGACTACCCTACATGTGTGAAGAAAATTGGTGTAGCGTGAGGCAGTTTGTGTGTGTGGACATTATTGTGTTGCATACGATGGAATTTTTCAATGTGCTGTGTTAGGTTCTTTTCAGCAGACACCAGCCACAAATGATCACTGTGGTCGCCAGGATTTTTGGTTCACTTGTTGCTGGTTTAGTGTGGTGGAGCAACTTGCTCCATCCAGCTTCCGGACCGATGGCAGACCTGGCAGACAGTGAGGACGAGTTCAATGTGCCTGGCGAAGAGGGGGTTGCTTCCGACCAGGACGCCGCTAGTGGATGTAGTGGTGGCCGTGGCCGTGGCCGTCGCGGCAAAGGGAGGGGCAAGGGGAAGAAAGGGCGCGGAGGCCGTGGTGGCGGTACAAAAAAGGCTTCCAAGAAATGTTTTGCTCAAGGTTGTGACCAGAAACCTCGAGCTCACTCGAAGTTCTGCCAGCCACACCACAAAGATGCAGAGGCTATGAGATACCAAGCAAAGAGCAAAGATGAGCAAACCCTAAAGACTGTGGAAGAAGTCTTGGCAGACCCCGCGAAAGCGGCCATGGCGCTCAGTGACTTCGCCAGAGAGAATCCAGCTGGACGTTTCAGAAAGAAACTGATAGACTGGACGAGTTTCACCCAGAAGTTTGGCAAGCGCGCTGAGGTGAGAATGCGTGGCGCTGAAGAGCTCATGGACGTTTCTGACTTTGTTTACTGGCAGAAGACCAAAGGCAAGTCAGAAGAGGAAGCTATGACCTTGTGGAAGGAGCATTTGGAGTCTGATCTGGATCGAGAAGGGGAAGGTGCCAACACCAAGCTGTGGATTGTGAAGAACAAACAGCGCTTCAAGGACACCGTGCACTACAAGGATGAGGGCATGGAGGAAGGGTCCAAGCCCATCAAGGACATCAATGACTCTGACAGGCTTGTTTCAAGACTCAATCAAGACAAGTGCTGCGATTATCGAAGTGTTGTTTTCATAGTTTTTTAAAGGCGAATGAAATGTGGGCAAAGAGTTGCAAGTGTCAACTGTATATCTGCAATGTCATGTGCAAGTCGTTTGTTGAGTTCAAAGCGCTGCCCAGGCAAGAGCTGCTGGACCATACACAGCGTGCGGCGCCGACCTTCAAGGATGCTTGGATGCGCAAAGCTTTCAACGGTGAAGATGACCGGGCGGCTTCAGCAGCTGCGAGTGCTGCTCCTGCTGTGCCTGCGAAGCCGACTGCTGAAACAGGAAGAGTGGGGGCGTGCTAGGGCTTTGTTTTTTGGGGCACGTTTCAAGAATCCTGCAGGGTGCATGGTTGTGACCCTAGACTTCTAGATGAAACTTGTTACTATATAGTTGACCGTTTTCCCTTCAGGAGTGGAAGCAGAGATTGCCATTGCTGGTCCACGTGCTGTAGAAAAGAACTCCAAGGTCATTGACACATGTTCTTCCATGGTGAAGGATGCTGTTGAGAAGATGGAGGAGGCTTTGAAGTTGGCAGGCACTGATCCATCCAATGAAGCTCTACAAGTCGCCTATGAGACGACGTGCGTAGTCCGTCTTCGCATGTTGCAAATTTGGCAGGCCCCATCCTTGGAGGCGATTCCAGAGCAGCGGCCACTTCCATCAAAGCCTGGCAAGTCAGGCAGCAGCAGTGATCCAACCGCTCAGCCTGCCATCGAGGCAGGTGCTTCAGCATCTGTACCGAAGGAGAGTCAGAGCCCAGATGAAAAGAAGGGCGCAGGTGACGCCAACCAACCTGCGACTTCACCGAAGGCTGGGTCAGTAAAGGCTCCAGCTGAGAATGCATCTGCAGCCGCATCATCAGGGAAAAAACTTTCCAACTTTTTGGTGAAGGAGCTCAACAATGCTGACCCTCATGCTCAGCTCATCAAAGAGCCTTCCCATGTCTTGGTGAAAGTGCACATGGAGGAGATCATCTCCAGCCTCATGGATTGCAAGACGGTGGAAGAGCTTTCTCGCAAGGTGACCCAGCTCAAGAATGGGGCTGCAGTTGTGAAGGAATTGAAGGATGGCGCCCACAAAGCGACTACGAGCTTGAAGTCTCACATCAGTGCCCGTGCTCGCGTTGCATCCCGCAAGAGACTGCAAGAGCAGAAAAATGCGAAGCAGACCGAAGTCAAGAAGAGTAGGAAGCAGGCGAAGGACGCTGCGGAAAAGATCAAGGAGGAGGAGCAGGTTGTTCACCCTGTCTTCAAAACGGACTGGCAGAAGCTGATCGCTGATGGCAACTTAGAGAAAGAGCACGCAGTCACTGAGGTGGACGGCCCAAGCAAGGATTCCCTTTGCGCCGACCAGCCGTACCTCATCAAGAACCTCACTGCACTGGCAGATTTCCAGAAGAACCCGCAGGCCATTTTTGCGAATCAGAATTGTTCATTATTGTTAGCCACATCTGAGCCATTTGTATGTGCATTGTTCTTGGGATTTTATCGTATTCAAGTACCAGTGAGGGGTTGTGGGCCATTGCGGGCAGTTAGGTCCACATTGGACACCATCGGCGCATTTCACGTTGCAAGACGCTATCGCGTTAATGTCAATGTCATCTGTGTGTTGTAGGAAAGGAAAGGGTTGTTTTTCTTTGGTGAGACCAGACTTTTGAGTTCGTGTTCTGAAGATTCAGTTACTTGCTTGGCTCCGATAGCCAAGGCACAAAACAGTAGCCACAGGTATTGGTGCTAAGCAGCGGCAAACAACTTTCACACACTGTACCGACAACCACAAAAACCCAATACTCAACCTGTGTTTTGGGATAGAACGCAAACCTTCCACAGGGCGTGCGTCAAGACTACAAGAGACAATTCAGAGATTGCTAGAGGTTGTAGTTTGTAGTTGTAGGCGTATTCCTTTCATTTTGGTTGAACCCGGCGTAACTAACAGTTCAGGTCACACTGTCACGGTCAGACTTCTGGACTTTGAGTGTGACACCAGCCATGAGTAACAAATATTGGGGAAATAGATTTCTATGTTTTCTTTCCCTCCACTCATATGATTGTCCTATCAGTACTCCAGATTCCCTAGCCAATTACATTGAATTCATTAGTCAACCGTTTTTGTTTGTTTTCTTTGGCAGGTTCAAATGATGATGGGTGGCTTTGGAGGGGCCTACAAGAAGCAGCCCACCACCAAGCACACTGGAAAGACGCAGGAGCTTGTTGTCAAATCCAATGGCTTGGAGCAGTGTGACAGGCTGTGGCATGACATCTTTGAGCTGTTCAAGGACTCTCCGTTTCAACCCGCTTCAGATCCAAACCTCGAGAAGTACTTGCAGAATGTTCTGGCCGCCAATTGGTTGACTGGATTGGATGCGAAGGCCAATTTCCTTTCAACAAATCCGAATGGTTTGGGCTGCTTTCGTTTCCTCTCAGCAGGTGAGGTCTGCTGGGCTTTGTTTGACCTCATTGACCTTCTCGCTGTGTACAAGTGCTTGGGAGAAGAGCGGGGGACGCTTGATGCTCTTTATGATTCGTTGAAGGTGTCTGGTGAGGAGAACATCAAATTGTTCGCTGAAAAGGGGTGCAAAGTCAGGTTTACAGTTCAGAAGAGCGGTGAGCTCCTCTATGTTCCTACCGGGTGGGTTGCAGCTGAGAATGTCAAAAGCGGTTTGCTGGTCTACGGCCTTCGCAAGACAGTGCTCTACCGCTCACCCCGTGCTGCTGAGGGCTATGAACATCTGATTGGCCTGCATTCCAAATCAGGAAAGCCAGTAGACAAAATGCAGGCCACTCTTGCCTTCATGAACCCTGCTGAGAGTAGCTAGGCTTCAGGTGTGAAAGCTGGAGATCGGAAGCCGAATCCCAGCTCCGTTGTTTGCTTGGAAGTTTTGGTTTCCAAGTTGCGTTGTGAGTCATGAGATGTTAGGGGTCTCTACTTGGCTCAACTGGGGATTTGTTCCTCACTGATTCCTCACCTACACAACTGAGGCGGAGCAGTGAAAAAAGGCAGTTTGTTTTGCAACTGTGGCACTGTCAAAGCAAATCGCCTCAAGTTGCACACAGGGAAGATTTCTATTTGGCATTGATGTGTGCGTTTGTTTTCACAGCGTATATAGCATACATCGCTCAACCAATCCAACCGCAAACACACGGCCACAAACACGCAACCACAAACACTCAATGACAAACACACAGTGACAAACACACAACCACAACCACAAACACACAATCACCAACAAACAACCTCAAAAACACAGCCGCAACACACAACCACAGCACACAACCACAACCCACAACAACCACAACACCCAAACACAACCACAAAAACACAACCACAAACGCACAGCGACAACAATACATAATATATGCATGTGGCATGTTGCGTGGCAGGTGGTCGCAGGGTAGCGCTTTTGGATGCCAACTGCAGACCCTGGCCACACCCTGAAGTGAACTCCCCAACTCTAAAATAGCAATCCCAAACCCGAGGACCCATGAGCGAAGCTCACGACCATGGCAACATGCTCACACCGGCGCATCCTAAATCATCGTAATGTTCGAGTCTGTCGGAGATGCATCTGAGCTGGTTTGCACACGCAGCTAGCTTTAGTTTACAGAATTGCTGTCTCTCCTCCAGGGTTGCCTGGCTTCCCCTGAGTTGCCTTGAGTGCATTACCGCAAAGGAATCCACGCAAGTTAGCAAAATATATTATATAGATTATAATATTTTAGCATATATTTGATAAGCTATTGGATCGTATGTTTTTAGTTGGGCCGTCCTGCAAGGGCAAGGTAGCAATCTCCCTAGGCTTTAGCTTCGCCTTCCGACCTGGCCGCAAAACTCGTGGACAAATCCACGGTAAAAAATAGGAAGGCAAATAACAAACAACGCAAACGATCGGCAGAAAAAACTTCGATATTCCACACCATGAGAACCGAAAATGTTTACATTCTTTTAGGAATGCTGGAAAGCAAAATTAATATCGATATCGCGAATATATATCGTGCCTAGCATTATTTCGACTATTTATGATTTCAAGATTGTGACCCCGGAAGCAGCTGCGCCTCTTCCGGGCCACACGAAAGTGGCAAAATGGCTGCAGCAACAGGATTGCTATGGTAAAGAATTGAAAATCGAGCTGATTAGGGCACTATCAAGTCTGAGAAAACCTAATTCGTGCCTGCAAAGAAACTTTTTTCTTTTCATAATGCTTCTATGCAAGAAGTTGTCCATGATGTTTGTAAAAAGCACCGTATAATCTGATAATGTGGTTTGCATCAAGCTGTCTCGCATTTGTCAACAATGCCAAGACCTTTTTTTGAAGTTGCAAAAGGCAACTCGAATAGAAGGTCATTCAGAACATAGAACAAGTGACCGGCACAGTCATAACAAGCCAGAATGAATAATGCACATATGTGTATGTATATCAAAAATGCAGGTCGAAAATAGATTAATGCATTGCTGCCAAATAAATACAAAATCTTTCAAAATATCAAATAAATTAAAATTTTATCAATGTAATGTTACCATATAAATGTACTCTATCAAAGCGTCAAATAGAAGGATTAAATTTGCGACGCGCTCACGCGTATAGCTATTAAAAATACAGTATTATGGTAAAACCTTATTTTGTTGCATATACGTTCGAACGTTGCAGCGGTAAATAATAACGCACGCATCCAAGAAATGCTCGATGAACACGTAGGAATGCAAAGAGAAATATGGATCCAGGGCCGGTCGTTGAGCAAATTCGAAATAAATCAATGTTGTTTATAATAGACATGCGGGATTCGAACCCGCGATCGACGGCGTCGGAACGTAGCGACGAAAACAAAATATTAAATATTTAGAATATATTTTATATTTAGAAATTAAAATATAAGAATTAATCCAATTATATAGGGGAGAGCGGATCCGCGACGGAAATCGTAGATTTCATTATGAGGAAACTAAGACTAAAAATAAAAACACGAAAATATAAGAAATAATCCGTTTATTTTAAATATATTAATTCAAAATTCCGCGTATTTTTTCTCGATCGCACCCCAATCCGTAATATTAATAATAATAAATAAATCAATATATTAGAATAATTTATATATATTATAATCGATACAAATATAATAATTATTAATATTATATTCATACTAATTATATAAATATATAAATTAACTAAACTATTTTTCTAAATAATTAAACATAATATAATTTTGGTAGATTAAAATAAGCCTTCTTAATATCGGTTTTTTTATTCATTTAATCATTTATTTTAATTCGATTTAATTATTCAATATAATAAAATTATATTATATAATTATAATTAATTTTTTCTATTTATGAACGATATATTAAAACAATATTTCCCAAATCTATAT